CACTACAATTTGTATTCTACTGGAAGAACAGTACAAATTCATAAACCAGGGCTAGCTTTTAGGGCGGGATGGTAGTGCGTGGGTCAGCACTCAGCACTGGGGGCTTTGAGTTCAATTCTGGACCTGAGGTGCTGTCTGTGTGGAGTCTGTATGTTCTCCCTGTATTCACAAGGGTTTCCACCAGGTGCTCTGGTTTCCCAGTCCACAGAAGTACTGGTAGGTTCACTGGCTTCTGGGAAAACTGGCCCTGGCGTGAGAGTGTGTGTGCCCCGCGCTGGACTGGTGTCCCGTCCAGGGTGCGTCCTGCCTTGTGCCTGTTGCCTGCTGGGATAGGCACAAGCTCCCGGCTAACCTGAATTAGAAGAAGTAGTTAGAAAACGGATGGATGGTTAGACAACAGATGGATGTCTATTAGTGGCATTACCAAGCACAATTAAGTGTGGTTGCTATTTGGCACGGTATCATTCAGCTTCTGAAAAAGCCTTTCAAGAGAAGTGTGCTCTTCAGCTGCTCTGAATCGGCGGGCAGCAGACATGTTTGCTTCATTCCCCTGTCTAGATGCGTCCACATATTCGACAGTTCACATGGGGCTCTGCTGCAGCCACCGCTGTCTCCGAGCCCTGCGGCCTCACAGCTCCTGGATCCTGGGGTCAATTCTGGGGCTCCTGTCTGTGTGGGATTTGCATGTTATCCATGTGTTCATGTTGGTTTTAACAAGGCGCTCTGGTTTCCTCCCACCTTCCAAAGACATGCTGGCTGGGTTATCTGGTTGTCTCGTAATTGTCCTTGTTCCGCACTGAAGGGCAGTTTCAGGAAGGAACAACTCAAGTGGGGGTGGCGTGGCGGTGACCACTGCTTCCTCACAGCTCCAGTTTAACTCCAGGCTACAGCGGCTGTCTGTGTGGAGTTTGCATGTTTCTCCAACGTTTGCATGGAGTTTCCACCTGGTACTGTGCCTCCCCAGGACACGCAAGTGAGGTTTGACAGGCTGCTGTATATTGTCCAATTTGGGGTATGGTTTCATTGCGACTTAATGCCTGGGCTGAAGGGTTGATCTTATCTAGTACAACTGCCAGTGGTCCTGTGTCTTCAGAGCAAAAAAACCCACAAGTGTTCGAGCATGGTGGCGTAGATAGCCGCCTCTCGTCAGCGGCCTATTCGCCGTTCTGGTGCTCAGTGCCCTTTCCCTCTTCTGCAGTGTTGCCTCGTGGAGACACTGCATTGTCTGTGTGGCAGTTCTGTACAGCAGCAATGAGATGAGAAATGAGATCTTTTGTTCCACCACTCTGCAACACGACACAGGCGATGGACTCTGCAGACAGCACGGTGGGAGTTCCCTGCCTCCCTTTCTCCACACCGACACCTCTGCTTAATGTGACTCCCAATGTTAGACTGTCTGCTCACCTGGACCTCAGAGCACAGCATGGGTGCCTCCTCGCGACACAGAACATTGAACATGCGCCTTGGCGATTTAAAAATACTTCGTAAAACTGACTTGAGGTGTAAAACGATGCAGCCAGAGCAGAGCCTCGTGATTTGCTGCACTGCCGATACCCTGCGCAGACTGCCAGAAAAGTAACGGGCACCGTGACCTGCTCTGCTCGAGGTGCAAGCAGAAGGTTCTCTGGGAAGAGCCTGTAGACCACGCTCAATCCACAGCGAGCACACTGGAGGCCTCACAGCGCTGGGGCCCGGGGTTCAATTCCAGACCTGGGGTGCTGTCTTGGGGGGGGGGGTTGTACATTCTCCCCATGTTTGGGTGGGTTTCCTCCAGGCGCTCTGGTTTCCTCCCACTGTCCAAAGACATACTGGTAGGTTAAATGGCTTCTGGAAAAACTGGCCCTGGGGTGAGTGTGTGTTTCTATCTACCCTGCGATGGACGGGTGTCCCATCCCTGGTGTGTCCTGGAAAAGAAAACTACTTGAGAACATAGTACAGTGCTCCTAAAATCTGGCTAATGCTAGATGAGGCCACTCGTCTAAACGAAAAAGCTCCTTGATCATGTTACAACCTGCTCTTACCTCTCTTTCAACCAAAAATGTTTAAGTTTGAGTCATGGTTTTCTGAATTAATGAAAAAGACGAGGGTTATATCACTCAACTAAAATGAATTATGTCAGCAAAGTTACATATAGTTTACACATGTAACACATGTAGCCCTTCTCTGCCCTTGCCGCTACTCAATCCTGGACACCCGCAGGCTCAGAGCTGCACTCGCAACACTCCACACAGCTGCCAAGTGCTCTGAGCCAAGACACTGACTCTTCTTCTGAGGCAGAATCATGCATAGTCTAGGTTTCAAGGGGGTGACGTCATTTCTGTAAGAAGTTACCGTACTTGGCCCGTTACTTATACAGAGGAGCCTAGTGGGAGATCATGAACACATGCAGATTCTGAAACCCTACCCATGACAGGTCCACCAGAACGGAAATGTTTCAAAACTAGAGCATGACCCATGGTATAGAATGGTGATTTCTGGAATTAGTCATTCAAAAACATTTAAGT